AGAGAGAGAGAGAGAGAGAGAGAGAGAGAGAGAGAGAGAGAGAGAGAAACCGAACAAGTCGATTAGTTAAATCAATGTGATAAATCAAATCCAAAATTTGATCAAAATCAATGAATGGATGAGCGAATGAAAGAACGAATCAATGAATGAACCAAATCAATCAGTCAAATCCAAGCAAAAAATCAGTCAATCGGGCAAGCAATCAAATCCAAGCAATCAAATCAATCAATCAGGCAATCAATCAATAAACCAATCACATCAATCAATCAAATCAATCAATCAAATCCAATCAATCTCATCAATCGATCAATCAATCAATCAATCAATCAATCAATCCAATCCATCAATCAGCCAACCAACCACGCAATCGATCCGTCGATCAAAATGTGACAGCAAACAAACAATCAAAGAAACAAGGAGACACAGAAACGAACAAAATGGTTAGCACCATAAGATCTGTGCTTTTTGCTTCTCTTTTTTTTTGGAAATTCGCACCCCCCCCACCTTTTTTTTCCTTATTATGAACGAGAAATGAGGAGACACAGAAACAAACAAAAAGGTTAGCACCATAAGATCCATTAACTAAAAAAGCAAAATTCAAAATACGTTTAAGCGTAACACAGCAAAAACTCCTAAACACCATGAAAGCGAGATTACTGTAGCAAAAAAAAAAAAAACGAGATTATCGGGTCATTATCCAACAAACCACATGAACAAAAACCTAAGTAGCTACCCATCTCTCTTTTGCGCCTAAATTAACTATTCTCTATTTTACAGGACCTAACAAACACACAGACTCTGAGTCTGACAAAACTACTCTGAAAAATAGCTAAGAAACTCCCCCCAAAAGAGCTTCTAAAAACTTTGCCTTAACGCCTCTGAATTTTTTCCGCCGGAGCGAGCGCCTGGGCCGCGTTCGTGCAGCTGCGATCAGTGCTGTGCGGTGCCAAAACCTAACCTTGGGGTGGCAGAAGCGGTGGGGGAGGAGGCGCGTCGGCGCAGGGTGCGGACAGCCTTGAGGAAGCACTGAAATGCTTCTGCCATCTCCTGCTCCCGGTCGGTGTATGCTGGCATTCCTGGAGAGACTAGGAAGGAGGAGATGTGTGGTGGTCCCAAGGGTGGGATCTGGGCGCCACACATACTAGTATGTGAAACCTGTCAGGGACTTTATGCGTTGGCTTTGATACGGAGTCAGAAGCTGAAGATTCACGGGGAGGTGAGAGACGTGTGTGCATCGACACGCGCCGGCCTCCGGGAGAGCGGCACTAGAGCTTAGCTGTGACCAGTATCGCCCACCGTCGTTGACAACGGGCTTTAAGCTGCGATCGGCGTCCCTTTGCGTTGCTGATGCTCCTACTTCGGGTGTGGTGTAGCTTGCGAACTCTTCATCCTTGGTTCTTTTCGGTGGAACAGATTATGAGGGTTAATTAGTTAGCATTGATGTGTGTAGTGGGTATTTGGTTTTCGTTTCTTTGCCTGTGAGCCAGTTAGGGTTCATTCGTTCGTTGATTGTGTAGTTGTTTTTTGGGTGGAATTCTGTTGGTCTTTTTTAGTGTCTAGGGTTGGAATTGATTTGTGCTTTAGTGTTAGGGGTAGGGATGTTAATTAGTGTTAATTAGGATCTGATGTTAATTAGAGTTAATTAGGGTGTGATGTTGCAAGCTGACGGGTGGTCAGCCGCTGTGGGGTTAATCCAGGCTGGAGAGCCTGGTTCATCCCTGCGGGCCATGGTTATTGATGTGAGGGACGCTGGGCCCGTTTCCCAGCCTGTGATGATATGATATACTCCTATTTTTTAAAAGAGGAAAGAAAAAAAACTTCCGCAAATATCCAGGTACTATGCTAACCTGCAAACCTGCATAGCACGGCGACCGTTTCCGCGCCCCCTCCAGGTTCATGCAGACGTGTTTGCCCATTCGCACGAACAGCTCGCGAACGTGTTCACGCGAACATATGTTATATATATATATATCGTCACAAATATATATTTCCGGTTCATGTTTTGTTTAACTCACGTTTGGCTAAGAACTTGAACATGACTCCAAGGCAAAAGTTGCTTGTATTGTTGTTTTACATAACATATTTCTTTTAAGATTTTTTCAAGACGTTTTTAAAATATATATTTTTTATGTTCACAACTTCACGTTCAGAGGGTTTTAAGCGCTTGTTCACGTTCGTACGTGTTCGCATTCGCCAAACACGATGCTATGCAGCTGCAAACTGAGGTGGTTTTTTTTTTTTTTTTTTGCTTGTTTTTTTCCTTTTTTTAGTTTTTCTGCTTTTTTTTTTTTGTTTGTTTGTTTGTTTGTTTGTTTGACACATGGACTTGAAGATTAAGCGAGCAGTCCAGTTGATGTAGCTCAGTGGTTAGAGCACCTGTTGGAAATGCGCATTGTGGTATAAGGTTGCGGTTTCAAAACCCCGCAACAAAACGCTGCAACCTTGCGCATGGACACCAGCAGGGCATTAGATTGACGCACGGCTGGACATCCCCTTGGGCTGACGCATGGAACTACTATAGACACTGCCTGCGCACCACCCAAGGGTAGTCCACAGTGTTGTATGTTGGTTGTGGGTTTCACAGGGTTAGCTTGGGGTGTTGGTCTTGGGTGCTCAGATGTTCTCCCCAGTCTGGCATATCACACTTTCATTCCATTTCCGGTAGTTGCTCATACGGTAGAGTCTTGGATTACATGTTACAAGGTTACGGGTTCAAGCTTGGTTCGGTCCTTGCGGGGGGTCCTTGTCCAGCTGGCCCTGTTCTCTCCTCGATACACACACATGATTCACAGAGTACACATCTTCGGGCATACACACATAGCTTGCGAATTATATATCGCCTACAGGTTACATACACAAGTTTACACACATGATACTGTCTACACAGATTCACAGAATATACACACAAAAAACAGGCTGGGGAGCTAGTCACTGGTGGGAGCTAGTCACTGGTGGGGTCTAGTGCCTACAGTAGGTTCAGGTTGGTTGGATAGGGTGCCATTGGGTGCAGTTCCTACTGACATTCGGATAGAACGGTCTGGTGGCTATATATATATATATATATATGGGGCCTGTAGTTCATTGTCTGGGTCTGGCGTCCGAAGTTCCCATTCGACAAGGTTCGTCCGATTCCGTTCCACCAGGGCTGGGCAATTTATCAGCCCTGGTGCCTATCACTGCTGTTCGGTCCAAGTTGCCTGCCCGTTAGTAGGGCAATGGTCCTGAGTGCTGGTCACACTGAGGTAGAAAAGTGGGATAGGGGGTGCGCTAGGAGTATTGACGTGAGTATTGACGTGAGGATGGGTTGGGAGGTGGTCTCATATTCCAGGACACCCGAGGCTCACAGTTCCAGGTGATCAATGTGCACACACTCAGTCTGGCAGCATTGAGTTTCGTCAACCCGCCCAGGCCCAAGTTAGATAGCTGCTTGGAACCAAAACAGTTAGGCGCACCCAACTGTATGCCGTGGACTGTGTCACTCACTGCATCCTGATATTAGGCCAGAAGGCCTTCTTCCACGTCGTACTTGGAAGATCCTAGAAGGTTTTTTTTCCCTTTCCTTTCTTTTTTTTTTGAAAAAAATACATCCACTGGCAGTGCTTTGTGGACTGTGTCACTCACTGCATCCTGATGATATTAGGCCATAAGGCCTTCTTCCACGTCGTACTTGGAAGAGCCTAGAAGGCTTTTTTTTTCTTTTTCTTTTTTTTTTTGTTGAAAAAAAGAACTCAAGTGCTTACGATTCAATGGTTGCAAAGGGTGCAGGGCCCTTCAACCAACTGGCGCCCCAAAAGGCCTTGAAAATGTCCAGTTTAGGCCTCTTGGAGAAATGCAGGCCAGCCTTCACTTAGCGCGGGCATGTTGCTTGCAGTGGGGCCCTCTCTCTCACTCCCTTCTCCAGCCAGCTGTTTACCCTTCAATCCCCTTTCATACTCTGCCGCAACCTGTGGAGCAGTCTTTATATCAACTCTTCCCTTGTGAACCATCTGACACTGTCCCTCCTTGGATCAACAAGGTACCCGAACAAAGCACGATACTGCATCAACTGTTTCTGAATCAGTGGTCGACCATCGGAACAGGCATCATTTTCTGCTCTATGATATGATCGTCGATGTCGACATGTCCATCCCTGGTTGGGGGTGAGCATGGACCTTCGTGAAAGGAACTAAACTGTTTCAGAAAACCGCGCAAGTTTGGAGGCGAGGGAAAACAGGGTGTGAGGGTAAGTACCAAGGGATTCGAATGACATATGACCCTCCATCCGGTTCACCTCCTGCTATATCCAGAACCTCCCATGGTCCGAAATACTGTGGCATGATTTTCCTACATATACAAAGTTCTTGGCCCATCTCAGATGACTTGATAACCCAAACTCTATCCCCAACTTGAAAGTTGGACGGCCATCTGTGCCTATTCTCAGATGCAATCATGGCATCTCGAGCTTTCCCCCGATGTCAAAAACCTCAGGGGACCATTTGCGTCGTTTCACGTAGCATAGAATGGAAAACCGGGTGAATGGCAAAAATGGAATTTGCGTCTAGAAATTGGAAATGCGGCGCAGAAATTATTTCACGGTCAAAATGATTTTATTTGTTTATTCTGATATTTTTTCCTTGAAAGATCACGACCTAATCTACGGACCTTCAAATTTTCAGAATTTTTGAAGAATTCTTCTGAGCACAAAAAATCGCCAAAGTTGCGGCTTTCAAATGGCGGGATTGGACACGCCGGTGACGAACAGTCGCCGCCCCTCCGTAGACCCTGGCCCTAACTCACAGGGCCGAGGGCTTTCGGCTGTTCGACAGCCTCTTTTTTTTTTTTTTTTTTTTTTTTTTCACTTGGGGAGAGGCTCCGTCTATTGGTGGGGAGCATCACCTGCTGGGAAACGGGCCCAGCGTCCCATATACAGATTGAATTTGCAGCATGTCAGAAAAAGAACCAGTGTGGGAGTGTCCTGCCAGCATTGATTACCCTGGCATCCAGGGGATTGACTGAGCAGGGGGTTGGGGAGGACCTCTTCACCTTGGAACCGGCGCCAGATACGTATTGTGACTCACTAGTTCCTCCCTCCCCCCACCCAGTCTGAACTATCACTTCCCAGAACCGCTGCTGCCGTGCCCTGTTACTGTTATTCCGTCCTAAGGTCAGGCGCCAGATTCTCCCTGCTAAGTCCTAGTACCTCCCTCCCCCTACCCTCCCTTAGGTGCGGCGCTGTCCTGTGGAATGGTGACCGTGAAAAAAACTTGTGCTGTTGCCCGTTCTGCTGGGTGCCCGCTATGTGCCTCCTGCTGTATACCCTACCCTCCCTTAGGTACATCACTCACAGATGGGGAGGGGACGAAAAAAAACTTGGCAAGTGAGGTCCTTGCAGTGGGGGCTGTTCTGACACCAATGACCAGTTCGCAATGACCAGTTTTCACACCTCCACCCCGTACCAATCCATACCCACTAAGCAGTTGGAGGGGGGGGGGAAGGGGTCGGGGAAGTCGTCGCTAGGCCTCAGGGGGATCGACAGCCTGCTGCAGCATCTTACCATACTTGACAGCACACTCGATACTGCCAGGTGGTGAAGTCGGCTGATTTTCAGGCAACAGAATGTCGAGAGCGGAACGGGGCTTCCTACCAAGGTGCAGTTGGTTGGGAGTTATGCCGGTAGCACTATGTACAGCATTGTTATACGGACTAGCGATGAGAGGCAATTTTCGCGCCCCAGTTATTTTCCTGGCTTGGCTTGATGTAGTGCCGAAGTAACTGCTGCACCTGGCCGTTTGCCTCAGGATGGTTACCTGGAGTCATTTGCAGTTGGGTGCCCATCTGCTTGGCCTCACTCTGCCATGACTCACTCGTGAAACCAACGTGACCCCTGTCACTACCAATACAATTAGGAAGATCAAAATCACGTACCCACTTCTCCATGAACAGCTTGAAAACGTGGTCATCCTTGGCGGTATCGGGCATCGCGACTAGTTTAAACCTGTCAACAATGACAAAGATGTGCCGCTTGCGGTAGTGGTAGTTTTGGCCGGGAGTGCCTTGCTTTGGCCGTTTGGCCGCAACAGATGATGTGAGGGATGCTGGGCCCATTTCCCAGCTATATATGAATATATTATATGTGTTTTGTGTACAGCTTATTTATTTATTTATTTATTTATTTATTTATTTATTTTTGAGAGAGAGAGAGACGGCTGCCACGTGGCAGCTCGCCAGCAATCGACTGGGGCAGCCTGGCTGTGGTCCAAGTGCACGCGCGCGCGCGCGCGAGAGAGAGAGAGAGAGAGAGAGAGAGAGCTGCCACGTGGCAGCTCGTTAGAAATCGGTTGCCAAGTGGCAGCCCGANGAGAGAGAGAGAGAGAGAGAGAGAGAGAGAGAGAGATGCCACGTGGCAGCTCGTTAGAAATCGGTTGCCAAGTGGCAGCCCGACAGTAAAGAAAAAGAGAGAGAGAGAGAGAGAGAGAGAGAGAGAGAGAGAGAGAGAGAGAGAGCTGTCACGTGGCAGCTCATTAGAAATCCGTTGCCAAGTGGCAGCCCGACAGTAGAGAAAAAGAGAGAGAGAGAGAGAGAGAGCTCCCACGTGGCAGCTCGTTGGAAATCAGTTGCCAAGTAGCAGCTCGACAGCAGAGAGAGAGAGAGAGAGAGAGAGAGAGAGAGAGAGAGAGAGAGAGAGAGAGCTCCCACGTGGCAGCTCGCTGGAAATCGGTTGCCAAGTAGCAGCTCGACAGGAGAGAGAGAGAGAGAGAGAGAGAGAGAGAGAGAGAGAGAGAGACCGAGACCCACCTCACCGAATTTTGTATTTTGTTTTTTTTTGCCAAATCAGGGTTGCGCAACACGTACCACCCCACCACTATTTCAAATTCGCGATTTGAAGGGGATTATATTTTTTATAAAACCCCTCTGAAAACCAAGTTATTGACATGGTGTGTGAGCCAGGGGCTGACCTGCACAGGCGGCGCACGATCTCCGGCGTGCAGCTCCGCCTAGCCGTGGTGCGGCCGGCCTCCTCGGCCGCGGGATCCACAGCCGAGGGTGCCACGTAGACTAGGCGAGGTACTGGTGGTTTAATCAGTACTGTTACTCGACTGGGGTGGGGGGAAATGAAAAGGGAGGCACAGTTACTGGCAAATGCTCGATCCACATGTTAGCCGGGGTCCCAACAGCCGCCCCAAGCCCACACTGTAAACTGCAAGGGCAAAGGGGCAAACATATCGTTACCTCCCTCCATCCAGAGAGGTCACCTCCCTTCACGGAAGAAATGTAGAAAGCTATGCTTGCAGGGGTCCCCTACATACCCTTAGGAGTGAAAGGTACGTGGGCAGGAAAAAGATATGTTTCATGACATGGCAGAAGCCAGTTACAAATATGTGAGGTGAGAGACAAAAAAAAAAAAAAAAAAAGTTGCATGCTCTGCAAATTTGAGTTTGGTTGAAGCAACCGCCCTCTCAAAAAATAACGGAAGGAAAGAAAGTACGAAACAGCCGCCCCCCTCTTTGGGCCTCTCCACACTACTCCCGAAACTGGCTGTTTTTGGGAGTCCACAGCGCCACACCAGCTCCCGAATTTCATCTGTCAGATCAAATTCGGGAGCTGTCAGCATGAGGCTCCCAAGTGCACTCCCGAAAGTCACCTCGACATCCCGCCTGCAAAGTCGCATTTTCTGGAGACCTCCTTCGGACCTCCGCCTTTGATCTGAGATTCGAGAGTACATGTGAACGGGACAAACCTACTACTGCCAGTCTGAGACTGCTTGACACAGAAAGGCCGAGATTCGGGAGTACGTGTGAATGGGACAAACCTACCACTGTCAGTCTGAGACTGCTTCGCACAAAAAGTCTGGACGTGGCAACTATCATTGTTAGACTTGGAGAGCGGCACGTTAGAGAGAGCAGTGTGGTGAAAGGCACTCTGGAGCGGGATGTCAGCACTCCCGGGGCTAGGCCTCACTTGCACGAATTAAGAGATACTGACCGTAGATAGCAAAGATCAACGGCCAAAATCTTCTAATTTGCGCAAATGGGACCTTGCCCTCAGTGAACTAGGGAGTGGTGTAGCGAGGCCCTTTTCCCCATCTGCAAGAGTCATCTCCCCTGCATGTGCACTCACGACACAGAAGGGGCCCAGATGCACAGTGCAGATGACCAGGTGAGGGCAATGGCAGGCCTGGTATAATCTCTCTGCCAACACCTGGGAGCGTCAGGCTTAGGTTCACCTTTATCAATAATTAAACTGATATTTGAAATAACGTGGTTTTGGCGTCAATCTGGTATAAGTCAGCAATTTGTCCTCTTTCAAGAGAAGCGTCAAAGACCCTCAGTTGAAGCAATAGGTGGCAGCTTTCCTATGGAGACGCAACCATGAAGCCCAACACACTATCTGTCGAGTGGCCTGGAACGCTGTGGTGCAACCAAAGGTACTAGAGGGTATGGGCATACTTGACCGTGGCACCCAAACGGCCGCTCTCTCGCTCCAATGGCTGAAGCGGCTTATTTGCACCCCCGGCATTACCTGGGAGCCCCTGGCCTGGCAACAACTGTCGAGGTTGGCTCCAGAGGCTGCACCCACCACACACCCTATTGCCTGGCTAGATGACTCAGACGTCTTCTGGACAATCCCCTAACCCCCCACCCGGCCACAACCACAGTCAAATCGCACCGCAGCCCGCCGGGACCTGCGAAAAGACGGATTTCGGGCCAATCTAATTAAAGATTGGCGGCGGTTCCCACTCCCGGATAGACCATTCCCTGAAAGGTGGGAGGAAGTCCCGCCAACCGCTTTTCGGAAACCGTTCGATAACTGACTGGCAGGGGCGGGTGTTGCTCAGCTCAAATCGTCCGTGGAATGGATGGGTGAAGAAAGGGGTCACAAGGGTGGGACACTTATGGGACCAAGCAAGGAATGATTGACTCTCAGAAGAGCAGCTGAGAGAGAAACTTCCCCATTGCCAAAGGATAGGGGAAAGGTTGAATCAGATACTCTTTGCCTTCCCCCTTGCATGGGTGCGGACTCTACGACGGGGGCCAACAGTACAAGAAAGGGACAGGGTGGTTTTACGTCGGGATGCAACTCGGGTAGGGGAAGTACTTGCAGTCAGACCGGGGGAGGTACTGGTGAACCTATTATATCGGTCACAACTAAACCACTTAATCAGGGGTGAGTCTGATGTGAAGTGTTTTGGATTGATGTCAAGATGGTTCATAGGGTGAGAGTCTTAAAGGGAAAAGAATCCTGGGTGGCATTTAGGCCGGAAGTACCAATCCAGGATTTCGCCATAGATGTGGCAGAATGGAGATGGAAGATTCCAACAAAGAACGAAAGACCCAAATATCGGTAACTCCATATATTGGGTGTTAAAGCGACCTATCAAATGCTCAAGACTAAACTGAATCTGAGGGACCGAATAGTAGATCGCTGGAATCGATACCTAAAAGTCCCATATGAAGTCCTGAGACCTATCAAATGGTTTAAAGAAGTGAAAAACAGACCGGCCAAGACCGCCTCGCTTCAATGGCAGATTACCCACCGATGCTTACCGACGAACGCATAGACCATACGCACCTGGAACAGAAAGGGTTGGTTCTCCCCTGGAGTCTAGCGTGTGTGGGGGGCTTCCCCTCTCGAAAGACCAACGAGACAATAGAGCACCTTTTCCTACAATGCCCAACTTCTATCCTTACGTGGTGTGGATGGGTCCAAATTTGGAACCAACTACAGGTGGACAAAGATTGGTTGTGGGAATGGAGAGCCTTACTAACTGGTCACTGGTCGACCCCAACGGGGCCAAACCTCGACCTTCATAGACAATTTATTCAGGATTGGGAGGGCAGCAGTGTTATGGGCTATATGGTGTTGCAAATGCACTCTAGCACTTGAAGGTGTCTGCGTTGGTAGTACGAAAATAACGGATATGATTTAGGAAATGATTGAAACTGCAATCAGAGCCCGGTGGAAAAAGACGGTACAAAGGATGAAAGCTCTCACAAGAAGATCAGATATTATTCAGAAACTACATGAATTCTGCATGGACTTGTTGGGTGGGGAACGAGGAGGATGGATTGAATGGATACAATGGGACAGCTGGCATCTGGAGGGAAATGATCGTCTGGAAACATCACAAAAGGACTATCATTTGTTTTTTCATAAATGGACTGAGATCCCCAATGACATACCCCTCCCTCCTGCCTCAGATTTCCCCGACCTGTTCCCACCACCAAATAACACCTTAGTTGAGCTCAGCTGGTATGGACATTGTGGAACCCACCCAGCACAATCTTAGTGGGCCCAGTCAGGAAGGAGAATGGGAATAGGAGGATCAGGCTGCCTGCTCCAATCACCCCCTGGACGCAGACCCTGCCCCCCCCAATCCCCCTTCCCACCTGGCCGATCCTCCTAGGACTGGTTAAGAGGCTATCAATGGTGCATCTCAGAGTCAGGTGAATTCCTAGTAAGCAGGTATAGATTATTCGAGTCTCCATGCTAGGGAATTGGGCAACCTACTCAGTAAATCCTCTGCAGTCCAGAGCAATCAAAAGGTCTGTTGCCTTGCTCAGTTATTACTCAGGTCTCCAAAGTACTCATTAATAGGGGGAGGAAGGAACTAGGGTGTTGCAGCAGAGATCTGGCGCCGAGTTCAGGGCGAAGAGGTTCCCCTCCTCTCCAATTGCCTGCTCAGTCAATCCCCCGGATCCAGGGGCAATCAATGCTGGTAGTAATCTCACACAAAACTCAGCTTGTATAATGGGGCGCTGGACCCGTTTTCCAGGTGCCTCGGCCCACATGCGGCGTGTAGTGTAGTTTGTGCGCAGGGTGTGACAGCCCGTAGCCATCCAGAGGCCACAGATCGGACAGCATATGGCACAGACGGGCGTTTCAGAAATGGTGGGCCTCTTCCATTGATACATATCATTTTCCCATTTGTTTTCCAAAGGAGGGAAAGCAGCATTTCTGAGGCGGCCATGTAGTTAGCCACCTTCTGAAAAGCAG